TGACTCGGCAGCCGCCGCCATACCGTTGGGAAGGTCGAACGTCACGATCTTCTGAACCGTGGGTTCCCCTTTGAACAACATCCAGAGCTCTCTTATCTTCCACCAGCCCAGCCATCTGACAGATCGCCCACCTCGCTCCCATGATCCACACCGTTCCCATCCGTGTCCGCATCGCCCGCGGACGTCACCCACACCTCATTCTGCCACCCCTTCTCGGCCCCCTCCAGCCACGTCATGCCCCCGCTCTCCACCTTCCTCAACTCCTCCCACACGCTCAAGCACACCTCCTCAACACGGCTTCGCTGCTCCGGCTGGTCCTCGCGCAACAGCTTATCAACCTTGGTCAGCACGACGGCCGTCCTGACCTCGGCGTCCCGCAGCGTCTCCAGCACCATCAGGTCGGCGTCCTTGATGCCCGCCACCGCATCAATCAGCAGCACCGCCCCGCGCAGCATCTTCCGCCGGGCAAGATACTTCTCAATCTCCCTCCCCCACGCGGCCTCCGATCCCAGGCCATACCCCGGCATATCCACCATAATCAGCCGATACTGCGGCGGCGGCTCCCTCTTCTCCCTCGCCGCTCTCCGCACCCCCCTACTTGCGACCGCGTCCTCCGCGTCCTTGGCCTCCTTTGCGGCCTGCAGCGCCGCCAGCCGCTGCTGTTTGGTGGGCGGCCCAAAACCATACGCATTGAGGCTCTTGGTGCTGCCGGCGGTGCGGCTGGTGATGGCGAGCCCGGCGCCGCGGGCGCGCAGGCCGTGGGCCTTGCGCGCGGTCTCGGCGTCGGCGCCCGACAGCGCGTTGATCAGCGTCGACTTGCCCACGTTGGACCGCCCGATCAGGCATATCTCGGGCGTGTGCGTGTTGACGGGGATGGTGAGGAAGCGGGAGGCCGAGTAGAGGAAGCGCGGGGGGTTGGGAGGTGAAGACCCGGCTTGCGTTTTGGAGGCTGTCGTGGTGGGGGACGGGTGCGGTCAGGGCGCGCTGGTTGGGGTCGTTGGAGGGGGGTGGGAGGAAGGAGATGGCGGGGTTGGAGGGCTCGGCGAAGGGTCGGGGTCTGGGGTTGGTTTTGGGGGCGGGGGATTTGGATTTCGAGGTGAAGGTCTTGGAGTTTGAGGCGGGGAGGGTTGATTTCGAAGCGGAGGGCTTGGATTTCGAGACGGTGCGTTTGGATCCCGAGGGGAGGCGGCGGGAGGAGGCGGACGAGGAGGCATGTCGGGGAGCGTTGATTTGAAGGTTGTCTTGGAGAGCGTGTGGGCGTCCCCCAAAGTGAGCAATCCTGCGGCAGGATGACCGTGTGAGCCCGCTGGCTATTGCTGTGGGTGTTAACCACCTGGGTGTGGCCATTCTATCGGATTGGGCCAGCAAGGTGTTGAGCCTGCTTCGTTGATGCTGGTCGCAGAGATCAATCAATCAACTAAGTCAAGCCAAAGATACGATAATTCTGGCAATCTGCCTGCCGGAAAATAATTCGCGATAGGGGTTAGGGTTAAAGTTGAGTTATTCCCACCCGATTAAACCTCAACCACAGTTTTCACAACCACCACCTCTCCCACAAGCAAACCAGCAACCTCCGCCCAAGCGCCGAAATCAATCTCAACCTCACCAACCGGAACCCCAACCCCAAAACGCCCCCCCCTCAAAAATGGCCTCAACCCGCTCCCTCTACCGCTCCCTCCTCCGCGAGCTCCCTCCGCGACCCCTCCTCAGCACGCCGCGCGCGCCCCTCCACCAGCGCCTGCGCGACAACTTCCAGCAACCACAGTCATCCACCAGCCCCGCCGCCGCCGGCGGTCCCACCGCTGATCTGCGCGCCGCGCAAGCCGAACAGTACGTGGCCTACCTGCGGGCGCAGCGCACCTACGTGACGCTGCTGGAGCGCTATAACCCGGGCATGGGCATGGACGAGGAGGAGCGCGTGCGGCTGACGGCGCGGCGGGTGGGCATGGATTTGCCGGTGGAGTATGAGGTGGATACGGAGGGGGAGGGGGAGGGGCGAGAGGGTGGGAGTGGGAAATGAAGTGCTGAGAGGTGGCAGAGGAAAAGGGCGAGAGGGGGGGGATTGGGGTACACGAAAGAAATGAGTAGATTAAGTTGTTATATGGGCTTGGGTGGCGTTTGGCGAATGGATCTGGCTTTGGAGGTGGTTTGGCTTTGGAGGTTGGACCAGGACGACCCTGCTCTGGTATGTTGTTGAAAGCTGGGCTTGATCTGAAGGAGGGTGTGCTGACGGTACCTCTGCAGCGCGTGAAGGAGGAGAAGCGGGTCGAGAAACCGTATATCAACCACGTGTACCTCACATTATATACGTGACGGAGTGTGCGGCGTATACGCCCTTGCCCACTTGAGGTCAGGGGTTCCCAGAAGAGAATAAATACTTCCATACAACAATTACCGGCTGGCCTGACCGATGTGCGAGAGATGGGCCAAGTCCAAGGGATAGACGATACTTCTGCCCCCCATACCCATAAGGTAGTTGAAGTTGTGTGTATTTTGGTATCAGATAACCTTCCCAAGCATGGGCTTGAATACAACTCGCGCTTGGATCGCCGTCCTGAATCCGACAAATCCATCAAATCCATCCCTCCCATAACACCCAGCTCATATACATCATTGTTTCGTTCCTTCTTTGCCCATGTGTGTAGAAATAAAACGGCAAGGGGGTATCAAGACCGCCATCAACGACAACCCTCAGAAGGGGCGCCGCCGTCGAAAATGCTAATTAGACCATACCACCACCACAACCCTTTTGCGCGAAGCAGAATGTCAACCAAACAACCTCTCTCAGAAACCCCTCTCTAAACACCGCCAACACCACCCTCCTCAAAACTCTCATCCCATCCCCCCGTCTCCAACAACCACCCCCCCACCCTCTCCTTCACATTCCCCACCGTCTCTCCCAACGCACTATTCCACTGGTCTTGCACCACCCTTACCTTCTCCTTCAAATCATCCGTCAGCCGCTTCGTCTCCTGGGCCTTCAGCTCTTCCACTCGACCAGCATCCCTCCGCTCCAACTCCATCGCCTTGACCCTCGCCGATACACAGGGCCTCCCGGACCTCATGCAACAAACACAACAAATTCGTCTGGCTCTCAATAAACTGGTACGTGCTCTTCTCAGCATGCAGCAACAAACTAAACAGGTACTGCAGCGGATGGTCCAGGTACGCCGGGTTCTCGCCGAACTCGGCGGCAGGAATCTGGATATGAAACCCATCGAGGTCGCCGCCGGGGATCTTGTCGAGCAGGCGCTTGAGGTCGGGGGCGATGTCCCAGAAGGCGTTGAGCTGGACCTCGACGCCGCGTGCGACGGTGTCCTCGACGACGTCGCGGAACTCCTGCGTGCGCTGCAGCACCTCGGCGGCGTACGCCTGCGCGCGCTTGGCGCCGTCCTCGACGAAGAAGGCCTCGGCCGAGGCGACCTTGTCGGCCTGGCCGGCGAGCCGGTAGGGGACCAGCACCATGTCGCGGTAGCGGTCGTTGCGCTCCGAGAGCAGGTCGTACAGGCTGCGGTGGAGCGCCTCACGCGCTTCGAAGATCCATTTGAGGAGGGTGAGCTTTTCGAGGAGTTCGGGTTGCTCGTCGCCTTCTTCTTGGGGGAGGTTGGGGTTGGACTCGTGGGTTTCGTCGAAGAGCCGGCCACGGAGGGATTGGAAGAGGTTGGTGGCGCTGTTAATGCGCGTTTGTAGGATCTCGTTCACCGGCATGACCACGGCTGTTTGGAAGGCGTCGAAGTCTTTCTTTTCCAGGTCTTTGAGGTGGCTTTGCTCGTCTGTCTTGGCGTCGGCTTCGGCGGCGGCGGCTTCGGCGTAGCCCATGGCGCCGGAGGAGATTTGTTCTTGGAGGTGTTGACGGAGAGCATGACGACGTTTCTTCTCCGTCTCGCTGGCTTCGGCTCGTAGCTTAGAGCTGGTCAACTTGAACACTTCCTTGATCCCATCGACTTCCGTCATGTCGCTGATCACGCGAACCTCGCTGCGGGTCGAGGCGAGCTCGGGGTGGTTGTTGTTCACGGCGGGATGGTGGCGTGGGTACGGGGGCGGCAGTGTCACGAGGCGGGAGACGTCCAGATGTTCGGGGTTGGGTGTTGCTGGTGTCGATGATGAGGCGAGCGAACTGTGGGAGAAGGCCTGGGGGGTGGTCATCGGATCCTGGTCGTGCCATCCGGACTTCTCCGGCGGATAGGAGGCGCGCTTGCTCGAGCTTGCGCCGGGCGATGGTTGCGGCTCGTCAATCCACTGTAGCGCCTCCCGGGCCTCCTTCGGAACGCCCATATACTTGGATTCCCGTTTCGACCTCTCCATCTTGCCTCCTGGGGCCCCAGTCGAGTCCGCTTCCCACCAGCGGCTTGCGGGACGGCCACGAGAATCCTCCTCGTCCAGTACGTCGCTGATGCTCATACTTAGGATCGGCGACAAGGATGGCATAAAGTTGGATGATTGCCAGTTTTGGTTGGCAGACGGGCTAGGCGACGGTGGTGCTGGTTGGCTAGACGTCGGCGTGTTGCCGCCCAAAGCCGACCCGATAGAACCCCTGTGCGACCTAGGCTCGGATGACTGTGGTGTTAGTTCCACGGTCCCGCTGGTGACCGAGTTGGTGGACTCTCGTCTGGCAGGCATCGGCCGGAACAAATCACGCGTCAAGTCCAAAATCTCTGAGCCCATAGCCCCGATAGCCGCCCCATACCGCTCCCGTCGTATCCTCGACTCGCTCACGAAGAACTCGGCGAACAACCGAACCCGTTCGGCATCATTTGGTGCTGCCGCCTCATTCCGAGCGAAAGCTGCAAAGCGCTCGATGGTGCCCCGCGCAAACTGCTCGGTGCTCTGAGTAACAGCTACATGTTTGGTTAAGAGTGAAGGAGATTGTGGAGCGCTCAAGGGCCCCGTGCTCATCCCCCGATGCGACGAAGACGACCGGCTACCGGTGGGTGGGGTGGGCAGCGCTTTCGGCGCAAGCGCATGGCGCTCTGGTTGCTTCCCGGCGCTCGGCGACAACATCGTGGGTGTTACCTGTCCTGACAGCATCTGTGCCGACCCATCTGCTCGTGGCGTTCGCGATTCTTGCCCGCTCTCCATCGAGTCGGCTGTTCTGGGGGTATCGCCCGCTCTGCCTGTCCGCGGCGTCCCGCGGCTGATGGTTAGTCGCCGCTGTAGTCCCCCAGACGGCCCTGGAATCACAATATCGGAGAGGGGTTGTGGTTTCGCCGAAGCATCGATCGAGCCGCGGGTGGTCCCCCTTGTCCTACTCTCGCTCCTCCGTTCAAGCAACGTCTGAGCCTTGTCGCCCCTCACGGCTGGGCTCCTCGTCAAGCCCGCAGCCGGGCTTGCCGAAGCGCTCGACTCGGGCTCTGGGCTCGCCATGGGGCTCTCGGGACTTGGGGTTTCGGCAGCATGTACAGCCATCCTATTTGGCGGCTCGTGGTCTAGCGAGCCAGGTCCCGGCATGCTATCGCCATCTCTCCAATTTGCGGGTGTTAGCGGCACCGGGCCCAGGGCAGCAATCCCGCCCGGGGGTGGTCGTCGGGTCGGCGGTGATACGATCGGTTCGTTTCCGGTTGGCATTCGCTGGGCACTCTGGGACCTCGCCGTCGATGGCGGCGGGCCGGGCGGGGGTGGTGGAACAGGCATGGCGGGATCCCACCTCACTTGCGACGAGGACCGCGATCGAGCTGATGTCGGCGTGGAAACGGCCGGGGTAGAAGCCGCTCGTCGTGCCCCGGGGGCCATGTTCTGAGGGGAATCTGAATCGGTTCTTTGCGGTATCTGAAGCGTTAACGGCCCGGGGTGGCTAACAACACCACGCGACAGCATACTAAACGACCTGGTCTGTGGTGGTGGCTCCATGGGCGGACTTGCTTGTTCCACCTCTCGCCTTCTCCCCAGCGATGAAAGCCCAAATCGTCTCTCGCGCGAGGCGCCTCTCGTTCCGGGAGGGGGAGGGAACGACGTGTTTGCAACCGGCGGCTCCGTAGCGACACGCTGGATCGGGGGCGGAGGGGCTCTGGCAACGGACACGTTGGCTACCTGGGTTTGGTCGAATACCATGCTCATGGGTCGCCCGCTGCGCGGGGGAGAGTAGGGCGGGGGAGGTATGGGCGACGCTTTGCCGTGTTAGTCAAAGAATGCGGCACGAGCGTTCGGGAAGCTCACTTTGAGGCTCTTGGTAGGGCTGGGCAGCTTGGACGTGCTGCATTCGGTCTGGGACCGGACCGGCGACCGGCGAGGAGATCCATTGTTGCGGATTGTATGGCTGGATGGCGCTCAGGGGAGTTTGACCGGACGAGAAGGCGCCGTGGGAACTCACTGACAAGGCCGACACCGGCGTATGGTTTGGGTTGTGGCCATGAAATCCGCCCAACGATGCTGTGTGAAGCGGATTTAACCCGGCGCGAAGGCGCGCCGTGGGATCTCGCGGGGAGCTCATCATGATGAGGAGGCGCCGTTTGTCGAACTCGGGTCTTGGAGCTAGACCAAGATTTTCACCCACAGCCGTCACTCTAAAGGGCCCTCTTTGATTATCCCTTTTCACGATCCTCGAGCTGTCTCGAGGCGACAGCAGAGGCCACACGACGCGGTCACCACGCCATTCACAAGTGAATGATGTCGACTTATGGGTTCGCCAGACAAATCCGGACCTCGGATAGGCCGTGTAATCGTACTGAGATCTCGATGACTACCGGTAGTCGAAGCAGTCAAAGTCGACCTGAAAAGCTGTCGTCCCTCCCAAAGCGCGGCTGCGGCGCGAGGTGGTGCAAGCTGCAGCTGGAGGCGGGCGGAGGGTGGGAACGTTGCAGGAGGTAAAGAAGGATTGCTCCAGGCCCGACACGGAAGCCGAGAAGAGGCGACGGTGGATTCCGCAACCTATCAGCCCCCCTGGTGTGGTGGGAGTTGCGGTGCGGGTGGGTAGATTAACTCTTGAACGTGCATTGAGAAGCGGGAGCCACCCCTCCCGCTTTCCGGTGGACAACTGGGGGTGGGAGGGCGGCCTTGGCTCTTTCAGGTGCCTTCGGCGACGACCCTGCTCCCTTGACCAAGAGGGGTTGCGCTCCCGAAACCAGCCCTGGCTGGCTGGCCTTTCAACGGTGCGGCCTGCCGAGTCGACGGTGGTCAACGTCCAGCCATTCAATGTCGTGTTTCGTCTATCGAGACGCTCCGCTTGCAGCAGAAACATACATCCGAAGAGGGCACGGGATGGGAGTTCTCTGATGGCGATCACCAATGGATCATCCCGTTCTTGTCCAACCTCAGAAACATGTACCATCCGAACCTGACCTGGACATACTGAGTAGTCGTGCAGCAAGACACGGACGTGCAGGTGCTACATCGATCCGCAGACGGGGTCACTCCGTGTCGCGAAAGCGTTCAGGCTCTTGGAGAGCGGTCGGAGCGTGCCTCAAGGGGCTCGACAGGGGTTCCGGGACACATCCTCACCTTTGCCCTGCCAAGTCTGTCCAACGAGCCAACATACACACGAATACTGCACCAGGCTCACTGTCAACTCCGTCACTCTCGGCCCATTCCAACAGCGAGACCCTTGACCCATGCGTGCCATGCTCAGAAGGCGATTGTGGCGAGCGTACTCTCGACGGAAGAGGGGAAAAAGCGTCGGCCGATGGGGTGACAAGCCATGATTGGGCTGTTGCTCGAGGTCTGTGCCGGCAATCTATTCTTGGTTCTGGGCAAAATTCAGGAGGTCGACCATGATTCGCCAGAAGCTGTGCATGGGCTGTGATGCATGCTGCTGGCGCTTAACCCCTTGCTCGATTCTTGGCGCATGATTCGACTGTTGCTTGTCGTTGCATTCACAGATGCCAGATGCTCCCCTGTGACTCCGCGTGCTCCGCTCCGCAACTTCGGACATGTTCGGACAGAAAATGCACGTCGCCGCAGCTTTCCGGATGATGAACCAGATTTCCGTCTGTCAACCCGATGAAGAATCATGTGAAGCTCATATCCCCCAACTAGAAGTCGATGCCATTTTTTGTACGAGCCAGTTGTCCTCTGCCAATAATTCAGCCCTGAACTCAGGCAAGCTGCGAGCCAAACTGTGCCGGCGGTGTGCCTTGTCTCGTTGGCCGATATGGGAAGGTGGAAGTATCCGGTTTACCGCCTTATGTTACAGCAGAGCAGAACCTCGTAGGACTGGTGGTTGTGAACTCGAAATCTGATCTCAAAACTGCTCAGTCTGCCCAGTTAGCAGCTGGGTCCAGAAGCCCTTGGCTCTTTCAGCTTGATGAGGCGGTCCTGGCAGACTCAAGTTGCCCAATTAGACACAATATCACGGGTATCAGCCGAAGCCCCCACACACTCTAAAAACCTTGGGTTCGGTGCAGTGAGATATTAATAGCGGTGGGTGTTGCTCAATGTGATAGGCTACTGTGTGACTTTCAGAAAATAAGTTGGCATCGGAAAGCCTTCATGCCGAAGAGAACTAGGTGATGAGTGATCCCAATTGTGGATGTCGACTCCAACTTACCTGGTGGCTCAAAATATCCAGCTAGCAAACAGAACCGCATGAGCGTCACAGTCGTCGACGAAATACGATGCAAGAAACAAGGCAAGCGATATTATTACCAGCCTCAGTATAGCAACGGAAGAGGGCGTTCCCGAGTGCGACCTCTAGGCTTGACTCATCCTGGAGATGATCTGGTGAGGTATGATCGAGATCCGAATGCATCGACTAGTTAAACATGATGCGCAAACAGGCAAGCTAAGTGCCACTTCAAGACATATTCGACCAAGAGAACTGTGGCCGTTGAGTCTTGGCGGGCGCATTTCCAACCGGCTGGGGCCGAAGTGCTCTTTAATTAGATCCGGGTTCGGGAGAGCGGGTTCGATGGGTTGGGGTGCCGCAGTCCGTGTCCCGTGTCCGTGTCGAAGAAATCGCCCGGATTTCGGAGCACTCCGGGTTTTGAGCAACCCACCGAGTTCGGGCTCCGTCAAACCAATCGACTGTTTCCCGCCATGACCAGTCGTGTTCGACCGCCTGTATTATCGGAAATCATCCGGCACTGCTTTGGCTGTGATTGTCAAAAGTTAACTCCAAACCTTCGGCGATGTTCAGCTCATGCGTCCGGCGAGAAATGTCGATGTGGTCCAATCCCGCTTCGACCAGCCGACGGTGAGGGTATCAGTGGGATGCGTGCTCAGCGAAGAGCAGCAAAATCACGCTGTGCAAAGCTGTAGGCTGCTTGGAAAGGCCTGGGCCACTTGATTGAGTCCAGAGTCCAGACAGTTCCGGATTGCTATCAAATGAGCCCCACGGTAGATGTTGAAACGCCATTTCGGGCGGCTGCTGGAGTTCACAGGATCGTGTGGGGGCCTGAACCTGCGTTCAATCATCCGCCAGTTATAGAGTGGTATGTATAACAAACAAGGTTGAGGATCGTCAGGGGATTTTCACAGATGGCTCGGAAATCAAGAAGCAGGAACGATGAGCTGGCTGGTTGGTTTGGTGTGTTTGGTCTGGATCTCGGTCCCGCAGAAACGGCAGTAACCAGACCCCACCAAAGGCGGTGAAAGTCAGCGCGTCCCCCCTGCTCCCCGCCCAACTGGAGCCCGCTGAGTTTTCTAGAGCTTTCCAAGCTGCTCCTCAGCAGCTACCCCAATTCTCTTCATCTGGGCGAGCCTCGCCCTTCTCGCATCTCTTTCTGTTCTTTTCCATTTGTTTTCTCCCTAACAAACTTCCTAACGACGGCTAATTTGACCCCGATCAACCCACTTCTCGGTATGTTCATGATTTCGCATGCTGCGCACACAGACACGCCAATTGCTCCCTGATGATTGTTCAGCTGGCACCAGTCATAGGGCGACTTGTACTCCCTTCCTTTGATGACAGACGCTGCGGTCCACCAGGCCATCTCTGATCGAGCACCAATCTATTCAATTTCTCGAGCTTCAGCTTCGAAGAGACTGTTGCTGACCAAGACAAGTATTGACTTTAGGTTTCTCCCTGCCTCGACAACCGCCAACATGGTTCTGCACAACCCCAACAACTGGCACTGGGTGAACAAGGATGCGTCGCCGTGGGCACGCAAGTGGTTCGATGACAATCTCCCCAAGATCGAGGCGGAGGAGGGGGATGTGAAGGCCAAGATCAGCAAGGTCATCAGCATGGACGGAGACGTCGACGTAGCACAGCGCAAGGGCAAGGTCATTACGATATTTGATGTCAAATTAACTCTGGAGTACACAGGTACGTATTGCCATAGAATTACAAACACTTGTTCCCGCGCCCTGCGTTGTTCCAAACTTCCTTCGTAATTGTCGATTTGTCCAGTGGTGGGCTAAAATCTCTGCGCTCCAGGCTCCACTGCCGAGGATGACGATGTTTCGGGTACCATTACTGTCCCGGAGGTCTCGCACGAGCTCGCCGAGGATGAGTTCGTGGTAGGTTTACCCCTCACAATGGGTTACCTGGAGCCGCGAACTAAGGATGTGGCAACAGTTCGACATTGATATCTACTCCGAGTCCAAGGAGAAGCAACCCGTCAAGGATCTAGTGCGGTCAAAGCTCGTCCCCCAGCTCCGCAGCGAGTTCGTCAAGCTCTCCGCCGCCCTTATCGCCGAGCACGGCAAGGATATCCAGCACGCCCCTGGTTCGAACCCATCCAGCGGCTTCTCCACCCCCAAATTGCACCCCCAGCCAGCTGCTGCCAAACCGGCGGCAACGACAAGCTCGCAAAGCACCAGCGGCGCCGTTGTCAACACGACTAAAGTGACCGACAACGAGGAATTCCGCACGACAGCTGAAGAACTCTACAAGACCTTCACCGACCCGGAGCGAATCGCCGCGTTCACCCGGGCCCCGCCCAAAGTATTTGAGGGCGCTAAGAAGGGCGGCAAGTTTGAGCTATTTGGTGGCAACGTCTCGGGCGAGTTCTTGGAGCTGGAAGAGCCGAACAAGATCGTCCAGAGCTGGCGTCTGGACCAGTGGCCGGCGGGCCACTACTCAACGCTCCAGATCGAGTTCGACCAGAACGATGTCGACAAGGTCACAGTCATGCGCGTCGAGTGGAAGGGTGTGCCCGTCGGCCAGGAGGATGTGACCAAGCGGAACTGGCTTGAGTATTACGTCCGCAGCATCAAGCGGACCTTTGGGTAAGTGTCCACCTCCTACTTTGCAGGGCCTTGGTCTAACACGTGCAGATTCGGCACCATTCTTTAAGACATAGCATTGCGGGAGGGACGGCGTTCGGCGGGAAGGGATATGGCAGTACGACCGGCATGCATGGCAAGGGACGGACGGTGGCATCTGAGCTGAGAATGGTCAGGGCCGGGTGTTTCGCATCACGATTTATGGTGATGGCTGGATACCACCAGCAAGTTACGGCGTCACGAAACAAGTCAATGAGAAAACGGCAATATATATGCGAGCTTTCTCCTATTTATGCCCTTGTGCGTACCTGTGCGTCGAGATCACCCTCTCTTTTATCTGCCCCCAACCCCCAAAGTGGGGTAGCAGTGACCGAAAGCCGAAGCTCGGCGCCGACAGGTCTCCGGCCGTTGGACATCTGCATCGTCTTCACACTTTCCCAGAACTATCACCCTTAATCTTTCTCCTACTCCCTCCCCCAAAAGCTAAAACTATCAGCTCTAGAATATAATATCGCAACAAGAATCACAAAACAGGCCACAATGGCTCCCATCTACAAAATCGCAACTATTCAACTTGTTCCCAAGGTGAGTCGATGATGTCACTGTCTCATGGGCCACGACTCACTTACACCCGCCTGCCAGGATGTCGCTGTTGAAGACAACTTCAACCGAGCCGAGGCCTTCATTCGACAGGCCGCTACTCAGGGCGCACACCTGGCCGTGCTCCCCGAGTACCACCTAACCTCGTGGTGCCCCGACCACCCCGACTTCATCGCCGCCTGCGCCGAGTCCGCGACCTATCTCCCCAGGTACCAAGCTCTAGCCCGGGATCTCAACATCAACATCGTCCCCGGCACCATCTGCGAGGTCCATCCCGCCTCTACCACTACGGCCGCCGCCACCAGCAACAACAACAACAACAACAACAACACCGACCAGGAAATCCGCAACATGGCCTACC